AGTTTTTGTTTCGGTTTTTTTGTGATCGAAAATTACACTTCTGCAGACATGCAAATTTTTCGAAATTATATTTCCTCGCCAGTTGGCGTATGCAGTAGAAACGAATTAAAGAAAAGCGAAGTCTTCGCGTCGTATAAGAGCTGCGTCCCATATTTTCGTAAATAAACGATTCCGTTAAGCAACCCGCGTATTTTTCCTTGAATCAAATCTGTTTCTTACGCAACTAAAATAACAGGTATGATGCCGAGATGACCTGTTTAGCTACACGATAATAAAATAAGGTGACGATCATTATATTTGTTTACAACGATATTACCTTAGTTTTGCAATTTAACTTTGCTAAATTGAATTTTTAAAACTGCAAGATGTCAAGGCAGCGATGTCTAAATAATAGAATATTATTCTGATGTAACTTCAACTTTCAAGTTCATTGCAAAATTACCAAGTCGGCTTGGATCGGTAGAGAAGTCTCTGCGTTATGCAATACATAAAAGTTGGGACGTGCCTTTACATAGCGCATAGATCCGGCAATCATTTTGGAGAAAACCACAAAGGTTAAAGATTTTGCATGACTTACGAAGAGACACGGATTCTAGGTTTTATAATGCGTAACTGCCGACCTTTTTGAAACGAAGCAGGGCTAAAAGTTCCTGTTATATAATATGTATATACATAATATATATAAAATAAATATATATGTAATATATAATATATGAATATAATATTAATATAAATATATAATATATAATATAATATAATATATAATATAATATATAATATATAATAATAAATATAATATATATAAATATATATATAATATATAATAATATACGTATATTATTATATATTATATATTATATATTATTAATATATATATATAATAAAAGGCTATGCTGTTTTGTGGTACTATGAATATGGAATTGTTATAGGAAAACTTTTGATGAACAGAATAATGGAAATAAGAATAAATATTTTACTTTTCAGGTTAAAAATTCCAACCAAAAGCTAATAAGGAAGATACGCTGTTTTGTTTTTGCTCTCGTCTTAAAAGATTCCATGTAAAGTAGCACAAAAAATGGCGTCAAGTAGGTTGCCTCTACACAAAAATGATTATGTATCAAGTCAGTCAAATTGGACCATACAATAATTAGATATCACCCTCCACTTCTATATTCGTTACGCTTGAAGCAAGTAGGTATTTAAAATGTTTTGCATTACAAAGAAGTGTCCCGTGAATTTTTGTAGTATAATAAACTACAAAATACAAACCCTTGGAGAATCGTTTTTCAGCAAAGACCAAATGAGTCTGACGCCATCCAATTCTTCGATGATCCTCATCGAATCTTCATCTTCGGCACACTCTCTCAATACCATCGGGACGTTTTCTAATAATGGAGGATAGGTGTAATTGAGCAGGTTCACCAAGTGAGGTATACCGTCTGCTCTCCTGAAAAAAAATGACGTCAAGCAGGTTGACTACGAGCCTGCATAGCAAAGAAATCGAACGGATCAAGTCAGTCAAACATGCCCATACAATTAACAGATAGAAAGGTTCTCTTTTCTTCCTACAGTGTGCCGAGCAAGTTCAGGGTTGCCAAATTGCTGGGAATATCAAGTTGAGTAGGGATTCATTGGCGATTGGCAGTAACCAAATTTTTTTCTGAAAATCATCAGGAGCCTCTGAAACATCCAAAAACGAGGTTGAGCGGTTTTTTTTTCGTTTTTCGGCTCAAAGCTCCACCGTCACTGGACGGATTTTCAAAAACTACAAAGCTTGTTCGTCCTTGGCATTGTAGTAACCTTGTATAATTTTTTTATAGGAATCTGAGCATTGCTTTCCAAGTTATATACTGGCCAAGGATTAGCGGAGAAGAAACATACATATAAATAAGTGACATAGTTTTTCGTGATGTACATCTTATATAATATATCCAAAAAACCTCTCATTTTCGTTAATCGCCAGTGGCGTGGGAAGTAAAGATCAGTCTGGAAAGGTGCCTGCAAATTCGATCGGCAGATGTTGCACTGGATAATGGCAAAAAAGTAGAATATTTTATAGTAAAATCGTCAATACCTCAGGGTACTTCTGTTGTGTTCAAATTTCAGACATTCGCAAAGTGCCCCAACAACGTTGCTCAAAACACCTTTCTTCTTCGACGTTCTCTAGGAGCTTGACAAGCGTCTATAAATAAAAAAAGCGTTCAGACAATGTAACGCGATCTTGCAGTACAGGCTATTATGTGAAAAAAAAACGAATTCACAAGTGGACAACAGCTAGTGCTAGGTTGACATCTTGTAGAAAAACCTATAACATGTCAAAATGTCACTTTTCAAGATACGTAATACGCGTGCGGTTCCAACCAATGAATCCGAATAGATTAGGCGCCAAGCCTGTATGTTGTTTACATTGCATTGTTAGTCGTCAAAATTGCGTAGTATCAGTATACACTTACTTGACCGCCAATACTTACCAAAGTGACAGTCTTGTGTCAACTTATGATAATAATCATACTTACCTCCAATCTGAATTCGTGTACTTTACATTTCTTACCTCGACAGTTTTCAGTTGATCCAACCTTTCAACATTCGCAGGACTGATGGCTGTCTTCCAAATTGCCCCTGTGACAGCAGCAAGCAATGGCTTATCTTCTTTCGTTTTCGGGTTCCTGGCCATATTGACCAGCGGGTCCAACCCACCTGCTTGTCTGACCATATCTCTGGTCAAAGCGTTCTCGCTGCATTTAAATATCGTTTCTGCGCAGTATCTTCTTAGCATAGGATATTCCTGAAAGCATTTTGTTTCTTGAAATCATTTTTGAATCTAGGAAAAAAAGAGAGTGAAACGCGGCAACACTGTACTCCAACCGTGTCCCGCTACTATTTCGCTTCATCTCTATCTCGCAGAATGATGGTTATTTTTCCATATGTTCAAAACAGAATCGTATTCAAAGATGCATGCAAATTACTTATTAGATAAATCCATATACCACTGACATCGAAATGACAGAGACAGAAATAGAATCACCACGTTGCCTAGCAACTCGAGTGACGAGACCACGGAACAGCCCTCCTTATACAAGTGCGCCTTCCTGAATCAAATTCAAGTAAAACAGTTAATACAAACGTATGACCTATTAAGTCTGGTTTCTAAGATACAGGTCATCAAAGAAACTGGGAATTGTCAAAAGAAAAATTATAGTGAAACGTTCTCATAACTGGAACCTTCATTGGCGAAAAGATACCCTCTCAAAATTAGGCAACCGGAGTTACACCATCACAGCTTGCGAAGTCATCGGGAGCGTTCGATAAATACCGCGCAAATTTTCTGGGAGATTCTGGATTTGTCGATTTCAAAATATATGGGCACGACGACAATGGAAGGAGCACAGTTAAAGAGTGGCGACCGACGCGTCAACGTGTCCAGTCGACATTGTTGTAAATCAGAGAAGAGTAATAATTGAACTTTGGACAGTAAAAACGGTGCTTTCGTTACAATAGCAAACTGTCACGGAAAGTCAGAAATGCTCCCAAAAAACGAAGTTTAAGCGACTTCTGTTCTTTTCTGCTTTTCGCCCCGTAGCTCCGCCGCCACTGGGACGGATTTTCAAAATCTACAAAGCTTTTGCACCCTTGGCATAGTCTTAAACTTGTGTGAAAATTTCATCGAAATCCGAGCGGTACATCCCAAGTTATAGGTGGTCAAAGGATAGCCGACAGACAGGAAGACACAGTGTTGCCAAATTATGTGGTTTTTTACATCCCCTGGGGATTTTTTGGGAAATAAAACGATCTGGAAGATTTTTTGGGGGAAAATAAAATCGTTGGGTATTTTTGGGGTATTTTATTCTATCTTTACTTAAAAATGTACTGTAGACAGGTTTCTGTTACCCAGATTCTTTCCAGTTTTTAATTTTTTATATTTCACAATTTTTAATATGTTGCTCATGTTTGTATATTCGTGTTTACCGCAATGTGTGTTATAATTTGGATGTAATTGTCATTTATATGTGTATGAATTGTGTATAAATTTAATCTGTTTTTACACCAAAAATGTCTCTGGCTCAATAAATATCTAAATAACTACGAAAACTGCTAAATAGCAAGTTTATCTTTCTGTAACTGTTTCTTTCCCCGTGTCGCATCCATCTCCGCAAAACCTTTACGCTGGCCCATCATTAAGCAACACTCTGTATAACAGATATAATTCACTGATTTTATAGATACCTCTGTAGACAAATGCCTGACTATATCCCGAATCATTCCCTCTGTCTGGATAGCTAGGCTGGTACCCCGGGTCATCCGCACATTGGGATATTGTACCAACAGCTGGAACGACCACGTCCATGTGTATAGACCTATGAGCATAAGAACATAAATACAGGGAGCTAAAATAGTTACATTAGGGTCAGGCAGATAGCACCTTCAAAATTAATGCGGGAGGTTCTGATGAACCCAAAAATGTCCCCCTTATCGAGGTCCAAGGTGTTGAACTACTGATTGAATGAGTTGATTTTCAACTTCATGAAGAGAGAAAAGTCACAAGGAACTTAGGCGAATAAGGAGGCTTCTACTGGAGGCGGACACATGTTGCCCTGTCCCCCCCTCCAGTGTTGTCAGATCGAACGCTACTTTGCCACTCTCTATATACCCATTTTGCGCTTTTAAAGATCGATATATTTCGTTTTCCTAAGCCAATACTGTAATAAATAACCAGTAGTGTATATAATATTTAATTGGAATATACCATAACGCAATTAGGCAGAAAAATATAAATATACGTCAATAAGCAGTAACCAGTTATACCCACCGCTTAATGGTCCAGTTGGTGTAAATAATTCATATAATTTTCGTCGCCACGACACTTTCATTCTTGCCATTCATTCGGATTCGAGGTTCGGAACTCTGCCGAACAGAATTTATTTGATGACCTAGATTTGTCTCGTAAAAGTTACTTTTCACGGTTTCATCCATGCACAGAATATCGGAATTAGACAATCGACAATCATCCATTGACGTATTTTAATTAGGTATGTTATTAGTTCAGGTATTTGAAAAACTGTAAATATTGCTGTGAAAACGATAAGCTTTTCGAGAAAGAAGGACAATCACTTATAAAAAGTTCTTAAGGTCTCAGGAACAGGAAATTGTGATTGCCATAGCTCTATTTACACAACATAATAGTGCAAATTACACACTATAAATGAGTGTAATGTGGACTAATAACAATTACATGTGTGAAAAATCCCAGAGTATTATTGAAACCGTCAGTTAGTTACTTTTTTTAAACTGATAGTAGTAACGTTAGGTTGGCGTGCTTTCCACACATTAATTAACAGATATACAAATGACGAATACGTAAGATGTCACATCGTGAAAAATCTTACTACTTTACAAAATTTTGAGAGAAATCAAAACATTTAACAATCAATCCAAACGTTTTTAATCCGTTGTGATGTTTTTGTGACACATGGCTATGAGTATTTTATAAATTTTAAGTACTACTACCATGGATACAGTTTTCATCAGGTTACTAATGTACATATCCAATATATTAAAAAGAAACTGTTATATAAGTTCAGATATTACAGACAAATTTTCAATGAAATTGAAATATCAACTAGTGTTTGATATGAAATTTTCATATCAAACACTAGTTGAATGTCACATGGCCTTTTTACATTAATATAAACATCATTCATAAATACAATGCATAACAAACCTTTATTATATCCTTCCAAATCGCGGTTTATAGGATCAACACAAAAATATACATAAATTGCTTTGGTATAATGTTATAATTATTAGAATTCCATAAAAACAATCATGAATATGATACTAGAAATAAAAACAAATAAACAGTTATTGCAACACCAAAAATTAAATAATTATAAAATCTTTATAATATATATATATATATATATTGAGACGTGGTCATTGTCGTCTCTACCAGTTAGGTGAAAATTAAAGCTTCCGCCTTTTGTTGAGTACTTCGACAAATTTAAGCAAGGAGGACTCTTTATACTTTTTAATCTGTCTAGATTTCAATGGTCTTTGCCATCATCATCAGGAGCTGCAATTACATTGATAAAAGAAGCAACAATTGTGTAAAATTAATTTAAATTAACTTACAGTAGTATGTGAGGATGTTGCTAAATGTTATTTACGTTAAGGATGAGGGAAACACCCAGTAACATGGTGAGGAGCTGGCTACATGGTACAAATGTCCCACATTTTCATGAATGACAACTGTATCAATAAGAAGACAGATGTTAAGCAACTCATATTTGCTAAACTGCGAAAAATGGGAGCACTTACATATCACTCCAGATTTTGTCTCTTCACAACCATAAATGGAATCTGTTTTTTGGTATTCCACCAAAAAATTCCATTCCATTCGAATTTTAATAATTGTTTTCTCATAATTAAATAATAACTGTTAATTCAATTGCCCGTCTCATAATAATATAGTTAATTCAACTGCCTCTCTGGTCGGGTTGACAAGTTCTTACCCAACGTATCTTGAAAATCGCACCATCTGAAGTGATTTGGCAACGTAGCACACGCCTTACAAAAGAATTTTCGTTCCGTCATTCTACACGGACATTGCTAACCTTCGGCCATCTGTCAAAAGGTTCATCTTACTCATGATTCTATGCCCACCATTTTGTGCAATCATCAAGTGGCTTCACGATGTAATGCTTAACTTTCGTTTTAAATATTTTTAATCTGTTTTTAATTTGTTCTTGTCATACAGCTGTGTGTAGTTTGTATAATTTTGACCATTGTACTGTACTTGTACTTGTTACTGGGTGTTTCCCTCATCCTTAACGTACAGGTTTTATTGGTTAGTGGTAATAGTTTTTGTGTATTCGGTGGAAAGAAAATAAAGAAATGTATAGATCTGCCTGAAATGTTAGTATGTTAAAATTTACTGTACTGTATTCATAGTGTTGCGATTGGTTAATATCTGAGACTTGTATGGAAAATCGCTTCCGCGTACAAGAAAGAAATGGACGTACCTCAACAATCTGGCTAACAAGGAACTGAACCGCTCTTCATCATCACTTGGATATTTTTACTGCTTCTCGAGATAGCCCAAAGTGCTCTTGTAGCTGCTTTTGCCATATTGACCAGCCCCCTTGATCGGCCGTCAATTGTTCTCTAAAATTATCAAAAATGCTATCTGTTATCCAGAAACCGCATCGAACTGTGTGTAAGGAAATCACAGGCAGGCTTTCGCAAGAAAATATTACACAAAAACGGCTTCGCAGTTGGCTACTTAGAATTTGTGTTACAAAGTTGATAACATTATTCATTAAAAAATGAAAATGCGTTAGGTGTTCCACAGGGCAGTATCCTGGGACCACTACATTGTACCTTATACATAAACGATTTACCTGTCATAGTAAAAAAATAACAATATTCAAATTCTCACGGATGACACTGGTTATACAAGTTCTCGAAATATTCAGACTGGTATCTCTTATATAAATGAAGACTTCAAACTTGTTTCAAATTGGTTAGCATTAAGAAACTCAAATTAAAACGAAGTTATGTTAATTGGAAAAAAACAATTTACAATGTTCAACTAAATATTGATGATGATGTCGAATTCATAGAAATTTTAAATAAACTTTGTTGATTCTCAATTAAATTTTGATGTGCATTACGAGAAGAGTATAAACAGGATTATTTGTAAAATGGGACATTTAGGAACAGTTTCTGGATTTCTGACTTCATATAGTAGGGGAATTATCTATAATACTATCATTCTTCATGTTTGATGCGCTATTCGGCTATTCTATATTTTGCAATTAATTACATTTTTGAAGAGCTGCAAATTTAACAAAAACAAGTGCATGAGAATAATACTGAATACAGATAAATATATAGTCCAATTAAATAAATATAAATGTTTCATGTGGAAATTTTTATCGAATATCTTGTAATGATACTCGTTTATAAAGCAACTAAGTTAACATCATCAAATGGCGACCATCATTTATAGAATGAAGATCAAGACCGGAGAAGACTTTGACAAATTGAAAGCGAAATTGATTAATCACTTGTTCAATCCACAATTATAGCTTGCCCAGCATTCACAGGACAATACTGGATTTTACTAATTCTAAGTTGTTTATAATTATTCTGTTTATGTAGCCAAACGTTCTAAATTAATCTTTCTACTACTGCTTACGGAGGCGATTTGAGATAGACCTCGTTAACATCCAAAAAGTCCACCAACTTTGAAATGCCATAGCACTTCCTCACAGCCTTCCTAGCTTTCTTTATCTGCGCAACGTTCGCTATAGTTTCGGCGACGAGAATCTGCAAATCTCTGGCAGGTTCCGTGAGGTTTTTCACCAACAGCGGATCCCGCCCAAATCAGCGATACATCTGCGGATGTCCGGATTGTGGGAGGAGCTCCGTCAACACCTCCAAAGCGCCTATTTTGCATTTCAGGTCTTTGGTTCGAGGAGGTTTATCAGGATTTCTAGACCTCCGATTTCCTAGAAAAAAACGAACGGTTGAAGTTGGATGACTTATTCAAGAGTGTGTGGAAGGTAAAGCAGTTTGTAGCATTATTCGGTTGGTCCAAATTCGCGTATTTATGTAACTAGTAAAATACCGCTCACAAAAAATTCGAGCTCCATTAGGGAGCACGGGTATCACGTATCTTGAAAAGTGACATTATGCCGATTTTTTTTTGACATTATGTAGGTTTTTCTACAGATGTTAACTTAGCACTTAGTTGTACGTGTTGCCTAGACGTCATGAGGCTTGTTATCAATCTTAGGCTCTGCTGTGATGTAAAATCTGCTTCTGAGATGGCATTACTGGAGGTCTAAGCTGTAACTGTATGTGTGATGATAATTACATTGGGTTCTTGTCTTAAATACACTTAATTGAGATTCAAAGCTAGAAATTAGTTGCGCATCCACTTTTCCTTATCCATTCTGGAAATTACATATACAAATTCGCTGAATTTCAAAAATGAGAGAAATAAGAAATAATTAAATTCACTGTACATTGTCGAATTACAACTCATATACGTGCTAACAGATAACTTTGAACATAACCTCTCTTCAGAAAGCACAACATAAAAATAAACCCGCTATTCAACCAACTTTCTTCTCAGAGATAAAAACTACAGACAATACTATTTAGCCTCACATATGCAACCAATAATGCGTGTACTTTAGTTGAGTGATTCCTCGTTAGATGGACGTTCACAACGATCCTAGTGAGCAACGTGGAATGACTAATTGTGCCCTAAAAACTACCTAGTTTGCAAGATGACATCTTATAGGTTTTTTAACGTTTTATAAGTTGTTTACATGATACCCATATACCCAATACAAGCGTTCACACCAAAGTGACGAAAAATGAAAGATGTCATTGTCGGAGGAGTATCCATCGCGTTTTTGCGTTATTTGAGCTGATTCAGTCGTGTATGAAATACTCATTTATTCCATGAAATTAGATTTGGGTCAAGTAGGCTATTGCTTGCAACCGAAATTCAAAATCAAGTCGATGTCTCGGGAAACTAAAGAACATACAAAAATACCTGTATAGCCGTTTGGTTGATCTCAGTAGAAAGATCATGGTCTTTGAGACACATAAAGCTACGACAGTGGCGGTTTGATTTCCAGTCTTTATATATTTTACCAGTTTCTGGATATGCCAGTATCTGGAGGAATGTCATGCTTGGGCTTTTCTGTTTTCGTTCTTCCTCTGATGAACTGAAATTAAAGATTTTTAAGATTACACCATGATGCTCAAACGATTCTTTTCACGTGTCAAATTGCTTTGAAACCACAATTAGAACGATACTCTTATCCATCCGAAACATACCAGAGATCCACAATTTCGCTTATAGCAGAAGTATGGGGTTGTCCAAAACCAGGACGCAGGAAGTAAACGCATATTAAAACAAGAAAGATTGATATTCAAATCAAGTGGGGTACTTTATTTTGAAGGTTCATTTATACCATTATGTATGAAAATAATATCCCTCAAATGTTCACCACGACTGGATTTACAGACGTCCACGCGATGGTCGAAATTTTCAATGACATTTTGCAACATGGTCGGTTCTATGGCATTTATCTCGGCAATGATGTTGTTTTTGAGTTCTTGGACGGTGGCTGGTTGTTGACGTAGACTTTGCCTTTTCAAATATCCCCATAAAAAGAAGTCCAAGGGAGTCAAATCGCACGATCTTGGTGGCCATGGCACATCTCCTCTGCGCGAAATCACGCGATCACCGAAGAAGGACTGCAATCGATGGATATTGACGTTGGTTGTGTGGCATGTTGCACCGTCTTGTTGGAAATAAACATCGTCCATATCCATTCCTTCAAGTTGCGGCAAAAAATAGTCCTCTATCATCACGTGATATCGCTCAGAATTGACGGTAAACGGCGTCCCCAGCCGCATTTTCGAAAAAGTAAGGTCCGATGATGCCTTTTGACACAATGCACACCACACAGTCACTTTTTGAGGATGCATTGGCTGCTCTTGATACTCACGGGGATTTTCGTTCGCCCAGATGCGGCAGTTTTGCTTGTTTACCGTCCCATTCAAAGTGAAATGCGCTTCGTCGCTGAACATGATTTTTGATGAAAAATTGGCATCAATTTGACGGTGTTCAAGGAGCCAATCTGAGAACGTTCGGCGCGAAAAATGGTCGGCTCGACGCAGCTCTTGCGTCAATTGGATCTTGTAGGCGTGTACATTCAAATACTTGTGGAGAATGCGGAGCAAACTGGTTCTCGAAATGCCCATTCTTGGGATCGACGCGTTGTTGATTGTTTCGATCGTATCTCACACTCTCCTTCACAACAGCAATATTTTCCGGTGTGCGAACGCTCCTTGGCCGGCCAGAGCCTGGCAGATTTGCCACAGAACCTGTTGCCTCGAATTTACGCACCAGACGACCGATGGTTGTTTCGTTTGGGCGGTTGTTGCGACCGAAATGTTCACGAAGCGCGCGAAACGTGTTTTTTTATTTTTGCACCATTTTTGTAGTGCTCTTGAATAACTTTAATGCGGTCTTCAATCGAATACGACTCCATAGCGATCAATGGTAAACATTCAACTAACAAAATGACATGTCGGTGACAGAAAAACAAAGATGGCGTCCATGTCAAATTGACGTTTACTTTCCTGCGTCCCTATTGGACAACCCTTTATCTGAGTTTTTCGGTTCTGAGGACGTCCAACTGTAATGTAATAGTCTATTTCTTATAACTGCTGTTGGTCGCTTTTTTGTTTTTGTTATAAAATGAGAGAGCAAAAGTAATGATATGATGCAAATTGCTAAATTGACCGCAACTATCTTGGAATTTGTTTTCTCCACACAATTTATTATTTGGTGCGAAAGGGTCCCGAGACTGTCTGTTAGAGAAGGGTCACCGATCAGTCGCACAGCCCTCCTCTAGACAGCACCGAGCATCATAATGCAGTCGGAGCGGCAGCACCCCAAACATGTGAGCAATACTAGAGGCTAGGTCTTGTCTTAGGCCTTGTACAAGTTGAGGAGGTCATGACGAGAAAAGTACTTAAACTATCTTTTTCATCAAGTCATCACGTCCTCAATGGTCTGGATTCCGGATAAGCGCTAGGACGCTTCTTGTCCGTCAAGTCACAATACTGTGTTTTGGAAGCATTAAGGTGTACAAGATTCTCGTCAAAGAGGAAGTCGTCGCTAGCCTGCTTTCCTCCAGCTAACTGGCAGAGATCGGGTTGTCATTCTGGATTCCTGCATGTAGAGTGCTGTCATCATAAAGCTGTGGATCAGCTTGATTCTTACAGGAAAGAAGGTCGTCGATATGTGAGAGGAATAACGTCGAACATCTGTGGCAAATGGATAACTTCCAATGCCAACCGATCGACAAAAAAAAGAATAACGTCGAAGCCAAGGCTGATCTCTGAGGAAGACCCGCGTTGAAGTTGTGGGATGAAGAGGAGAATCCGTCACCTTACTTATAACAGAAAGCAGAGTTATAGGCCTGTAGTTGTAAGGGTCGGTCTTAGATCCTTTGTTTGAGATGGGTTAGACATGAGCAAGTGGAGCAAACTCTTCAATGCAACGTCAGGAATCAAGTCCAGACCAAAAGCTTTGTTGATGTCGAGAGACAAGAGCACCCATCTTATGATCTTTGTTACTTCCCGTTGCAGATCCCCAGATTTAAACACGCCAGATTACTTGCAAGTCTTGAAATGAAGCATTGAAAAGGAAATCCCTATTCTGGAATCAGATACTTCGTAAAAAAATAAAAAAATTCCTTACAAACTTTCGATTTTCCTTGTGATAGGTTATAAAGCAAAATTACTTACTAGTCTTCACTGGAATCTTCACTAGCTTCTGGTTCTTCAACGATCACTTCTCTTAGTGCGCATTTTTCTTCCTCCGGTGGAACGTCTTCTTCTGATTTATCGCTTCTCATATCCGATGTCCAATGCAAATGCAATTCTCTTTGTAACTGACGTCATATATGACACCGAGTCGGATGATTGTCACTGTAATGTATGATATACAATCCATTTCACTTTTGTGTAAGTGTAATCTGAGTCTTTAAAAATTGTATTGTAGCTGATTTTTTTCTCATGGTCCCGCCCACAGGAAATTTTTTCAGGGGGGGGGCGCAGGATTGACCTTTTGTTCATCTTGGGCGGGTAGCTACGCCACTGTTAAATAAATGACTCAAAAGAGTTCTTTTCTAACTAGTGTCATCGTTTTTCAATTGATTCCATTCTTCAATCACATTCATAATAATAAATTCACAGAGCTAGACTACACTAGGCCGTTGAGAATTTCTTCACCTAGATATAAGCGAAAAATTGCACCTCGAGGAATGAGGGGGTAGGTGTAGGTGGACGGTGTAGTATGTAGGGATAAATATGGACGACGGCGATCGTAAACTGATAAAAACGGAGTCAACGGAACCTGTTACAGCTCAAGCATTAACGTTAATTCAACTTTCTAGATAGATGAAATTTCAAATAAATTGCATCTTACATAATGTTACCTTTCGCTGAAGCCTAGCGGCGTACGACAATATCACATTGTTAATTATAAATATGAAGATAGAATATACAATAGTAATAATAAATATATAATAGTAATAATAATGATAATAATATTAGCAACATAGAATCGGAATAGACAAACGCGCTATGGTTAATCTTAAGAAAGAACGATAACAGTAATGGGGAGGGGGAAGAGTAGTTCGTAGATGGGTTGCATTTTGCTTCATCTACATGCCGGAGAGACATATACCTACCTCTCTGACTGTTATGGAACCTCAGAGCTACTGGTTTTTCTCCGTCATAGAGTAATCGATTCCTATTAGACCAACCATTCTTACTATAAATCATGAGGCTACATTTTGCTCAAATATCGACTGCAATTTGTCCGAAATGAGTATCGAAATGTCATCAGTGGCTGGCACTGACAGATTATTCAAGTCGTTGATATATATAGTACATACGAAAAGGAAGGGACCTAATACTGATCCTTGGGCAACACCGATGCTATTCCCCTACTATCCGGGGAGAGACCATTTATAGTAACAAATTGCCGTCGGTTCCTGAGAAATGATGTTATCCAAGACAAAGCTTTGCCTCCTAATACCGTATCATGCCAATTTGTCCAACAAAACGTTCTGGTCTACACAATCGAATGACACACAAAATGCCCGCTGGACATTCTCCGTCTTCAATAATGTAGCGTTTTCTGGGTACTTTTGGGTCCCAAAAGGGAATGCACCAATTCATTATCTTGACTAGATAGAACATTTATGTCCGACTAATTCTTATGTCTGGTCACTGACTGAACTATACTCCACTCTGCTCTACTACTCCCCTCTTCCAGCCGTCAAGTAATATAGTCCGCTACAGTGTTGCCAGCGGAAAGTAGTGGAGTTGTCCGCATCGTTGGTTCGAGAAGATTCCGGTGAGCCACATAGGGCGAGTCGCTGGCAGGCTCCTCAACAGATGTCGCCAAGCGGCATGTGCGGTCGTGATCCGCGTAAAAACAGAGATCGGACATGAAGCTCTGGCGCGTAGGAGGGTCTCCCAACTGTAGTATTCATTCTTGTTACAATATAATTAATCAGCTGTGTATAGAAGAAGTGTATGGCAATATCGGTAGATCTATTTTTGTGAAAACCATGTTGATTATTGGAAACGATATCATGTTTTTTGGGTGTATCCTAAAAATCTATCTAAAATGAGTATTCAAATACAGCGTCCTTTTATGCGAATACCTAGTTTTATTTTCTGAATGACATCGTTAACACGTGGAAGTATTTTAACCAGGCGGTAATCAAATAAACTAGATAGTCATTTTAAAATTACTATCTAGACAATTATGGTGTAATATTCATTTAATGACAATGCAATGAGTGGTAAAATTTGTTTCTTTTTTTTTCAGTTCGTCGAAGTGTCGCTGACGTCTTGCAACCACATCATGATGATCATTCCTACTACGTTGGCTACGAGGTAAAATAGTAACTTATAGAAATAAACTAATGCAACAGCAACTCGCCAAACTTAGCTTGAACAGAGTAGAATTTAATAAATAATAAAAGCTTCTTTAGGACCGTGGATAAAGAAAAACATAAGCAGACACTACAAGTATGTCGTCAACTATACACGTTTAACGTCAAGATACATAGTTCCACAATCCGCATACTCGTGTTTCAACGAATGTTGAAAATAGCTTCGAAATCGATTTGTCGAGTTGAAAAGCTGTATAGAATATAAATAAATATCATTACTTTTGATAGGTCTTTTTAAACTGATATTTCTGTTTCTAATAGCTAGTCATGGAATCCGGAAGCGGCAGAAAGAAAGATGTTACGACAGGTAAAGCTACTTCAGAATACAGAATCGTTGCTAGTCGCACAAATGTGGATAAAAGTCGTTGATGATGGGTTAATGCAGTCTTTCTATTTTCTAACTACTGCTTTCACATCGATAAGCAGTAGTTAGAAGTTACCCAAAAACAAAATAGTTTTAACATTCTACTAGAAGCATTAATGACGTCACTCCTGTTCATGATATTTAAGGTTATGGTGAACTATTTTGACAGATGTGATAGCCATCTGCCACCAGTGACATAAAAAAGAATCGTTTTCCGCTATTTTTTATTTGCCAGTACAGTTTTCTGAATCCGATTATGAATTTTCGTTGGCGTTTCAATTTGAAATGTTCCATACTAGTTCGAGTGGAGTATGAATAGCTTCACACATCCAGTCTGACTTATATCACAATATCACAGCCAGTGACGCTTACAGTGGTGACAGATAACAGGACCTGACGTCATCATAACTGCTATATTGTGCCTAGCCGTTCATGCTTCTTGGCAATCATCAGCACGGACTAACCTTGGAACTAACCGAAGTATCCCCTATCGGTCTATCTGCTTACTTTATTTGTCCTACCTTGTGCAATTTTAACTTTTCGTATTCTCTGAACCAGTCTGCATGGAATATTTCAAAATGAAAACAAAATCAAAAGTATAACGTCTTCCCTATCGAATATGTTCATAAGCATCATATATAATTTCTGCTTGAGCCTCGGACTTTTTACAAATTATTATCGTAAAATAACTCAGATAATGCTAATAGTGTAAATAAATATTTTTCTCTCGGTTCACCAGTACATTAAACCTTCACTTATCGTTAATACGCAAAAGCGCATATATTAATATTCCCCAGTTTACTGTCGTTAAAAGACTGACAGCTGATAAAATGCAAATAAAGCGTAATGCACTAAGGTGTGGCGTAGACTAGCGTCTGGGTTATATGGATATTACTTTTATCTGGTCCTTGATATCCAAAGTTTAGCAATAGTTGCAACCTTTTTCCGGAAACCAGACTATGATCACAACGATGATGATGACGATGACGATGATGATGACAATGATGTTGACGATGATGATGACGATAACGATTATCTCGACGATGCCGATGATAATGACGGATGATGATGATGATGATGATAATGACGATAACGATGACCACGACGATGATGATGATGACGATGATTGCGACGACGATGATGATAACAATGATCACGACGATGATGATGACGATAACGATGACCACGACGATGATGATGATGACGATGATTGCGACGACGATGATGATAACAATGATCACGACGATGATGATGACGATGGCAATGATGATGATGATGACGATGATAGCTATGATGATGAATATGAGTATCACAAAAAATCCATACATACTTATTACTGATACATTGTTTATAATAATAATAAGAATATTCATTCAACAAAAGACACTTTGTAACAAATTGTATCGGGATGGTCAAGGATAGAAAATCGAATTCATAAAGCCTATAAGAAGGTAAAATGAAAAATACACATTAAAAGCAATAGTATAAATTATTAAAATGGAACATACAAACTCATGAAACTACTCAACATGCATTTGAGAAGAACAGTAAGAACTCATCAACGCTATAAAAACATTGATAAACCAAAAATTTCTTGCGGTACTGCACAAACAAATTAAAATTGACAATCGACTAATCGATCGAGGAAAGCGTTGAACAGCCTTACACCTAGACAGTCAGGGACAGTCATGCAATTATGTATTACCTCTATGGTGCGTATAAGTAATCACTTTGTCCTGTACACAGATATGCGACACTTGGCAGTTTATTAATACATATTTTAAAAAAATCTCTCTTACAAGACTCTTTGCTAGGTACAACCTACCAGTCATCTAACTACCCTCTTCTGGGCTGAAAAAACGTCTAGCGAATCTGTGCTCATACCTCAGAACACACACCATAACGAAGTTTTGCTACTAACGTCTCAGCGCTGACCAGAAATTGTTAACCAAAAATGCTACCGAGTGTATGTTGGAGATTAGTTATTGTCAATGAAATCCCCAACTCAAACACAAGTGCCTACCTAGAAATTTTAAGCTTTGACAGCTATTTGTGATTATGGAGGAATTTACCCGTAGCAGTAAATTGCCATAATCTCTCTTTGTTATGAGAAGGATGACGATGACGATAATCACGACGAAGATGATGAGGATGATGCTAAATAACTATGGTGAGATGAAGATGACGATGACGACGATGATGATGATGACGATGACGATGACGATGACGATACCGATGATGATGATGATGATAACGACGATGGCAATAACGATGGCAATGATTATTCATCAAAATTCTACTAAGTGTAGCTTGGACATTAATGATTCGCACTGAAATCTGCCACTCAAACACAACGCTAAGTGCATACCTAGGAATTTTTATGCTTTAACAGCTATTTGTGATTACGGAGGAAGTTGCCACCTGTAGGAGTAAATTGTCTCAATCTCTGTTGTTTTGATGATGATGGTGACGATGATCATGATGATGACGCTGACTATGACGATGACGATAGCGATTATCACTACGATGATGATAACGATGACAATATGATGATAACTAGGATAGTGACTATGAGGATAACGAAAAAATTCCTTA